TACCTTTTACCCAACATCTGGAGCTTTCTTTGACCAACAAATGACTCAGCTATGGGAGTACCTCGATCAAACTAGAGTAAAAATCCCTCTTCATACCTCTGATTGTGGTGAGTTTGACTTTGTCACATTTCCTGAAAGAGAGGAAGCGCTCAAGGCCGAGGAAGAACTTCATATTTAACGTCAACAGACTAAAGACAGCCTCAAACTAGACAAGTCACTTGTCGTTAAAGTTCTTCCCAAAGGAAAGTCGAAGAAGATGAACCCCGTCAAGGCCCAGGCCCAGCTGCTCTCACAAGTTGAACATGAACATCAAAGAGCACTAGCGTTGAGGGACCGCGACAAGAAATGGAACGAAGATCATATGAAGAAAAGAATAGGTCCCCCATCATATCTCAAACGTCACAATCAACAAATACATGAAAGATGGAGGAATGCTTATCTCCATGGTCATCACCAGAGACAACCTTGATGCGATCACTGAATATCCTTCTTACCTTGGTCAATATGTCTATGATACATGGCTGGAGATACGCCAAGCCATCCAGTGCTCAAAGTCAAGGCACAAGCATATTATCGAAGAATATGTCCAGGTATATTGTTATTCCTTCAGTGCCAGCATTGATGACAGGAAGAAAAAGAAAACCTTCAGATTCTAATGATGGACCAACTCTGAGGAACGAACATGAAACCAAGTTCTCCTTAGAGGAAATCCTAAAGGACTCGAAGAAGCTAGATATTTCTCTATTGAATCTCTCTCTGCCAGTGAAGGGTCCTTATACACCCAACACTATGCATTTCAAGCCTGAGTATGGATTTATATTGATTAACCATGATGGTGAGTACAATTTTCAAAGAGTATATGAGTTTCGTCTATGTCCAATATATTACCTCAAATTTCTAAGATCTTGGTTGGACAATGACCTAAATGGTGAGACGATGGAACGTAGGATTAGAAAGGAATATCTACGTCAAAAGAAGCTTGGAGAAGAAGTACTTGGGTACATCGACTTCAGCGACTTAGATTAGTTAAAACTTTCTATCTTGTAAATCTTGTTTTTCTTTTCTTTACTTTTAGTGTACAACTTATATGTAATAGGTCCAAAATTTACTGATGTAACACTTATATCTTTCCAATGAATAATATGAGTATTTCTCCAGTATCACTGAAAAAGATCCCTTAAAAGAGTAATAGGGACATGTATCTATGAGTTCCAGTTTACTCTTACATTCACTGACAGTTTTCAGTCAGTGAATATGCTTTCAGTTTTAGTTATCATAACTTGTACTTGTTTCTCTTAAACTTGTAATCCTTTACAACTTAAGTAAACTTATATAAGAAAATTGAATCAGTAAAAAAGATCCCAAAATAGTTAAAAAGGACTTGTATTTTACTTTTAACTTTTCCTTACTATTGTAACTTAGGCAAAAAATATATATTGCTTTGTCATCATCAAATAGGGAAAGATTATTGATCCTCTTTCATTGATTTGATGATAATCCCTTTTACTTGTCGAAGTATAGTGTGTTTATTCAATTTCAGTGATCATCGTTAAGTCTGGTCAGTGATCGCTGAACATGTATTGTAACTTTCCAGTGACCGTTATACTTCAAGAAGACAAAACTCACACCAAAGAACCTTCAGCGATGTCGAAGATAGAAACTGAAGATTAAATAATAGCGTGTTCGTGATCTAAAGCGACATTTAGTGATTACAAGCTCATCTACATAAGTGCGAAGACTGCACAAGTTTCAGCAAATGCTGAAGAGACCTCCAACGTCATCCCATCATTCAACGATCAAATGATGTTTTCCATGCATGATTGTTTTTCTCTTGTCCTCCCACGCACTAAGAACAAACCCATACCTTTTTTAAGAGTATAGTACAGTACGAAGCCATTCAGTTGACTCTATCGTGCTTACCTACTTTCTAGAAAGAAGACTGCTGATGAACATTGACAGGACTGTTCACTGTAGCAAAGAACAAGCTTCCCTCCAAAATCTTGACACATGTTGTGTACTTCTGAATTGCATTTAATCCAATAGGTATAAATAGTTGAGTGCTCTCTATTCAGTTATCACTCTTCCTCTTTAAGAAACTTACCCAAGAAGTTACTTCTCTCACTACTCTCTCTAAAGAGAAAGAACCACTTTGAACAAGTGAAGAACACTTTTTTAAGTCTTTAATTCTTACAGAAAATCTTTTCTCTTTGCTAAATGTAATAGTGTGTATCCTTAGATTGTTTAGATAGGTTTTTTTTACCTTATCTTTTCCGCAAACAATCTGTAAAATTTATATTGATCCTTCTGTATCAATATATAATTTTTAAAAGTGAAAGTTTATGTATTTGTATTTACCCCCTTCTACAAACTGATCCTATAACTACGTAGATCCAGCTGGGACCAACAAGCTTTGGAGCATTGCTTACGTTCTAACTCAGAAGAACCAGAGATCGCTCCTTGTATTATGATTGATATAAAATTTTCTTTACAAAAGAATGAGAATCAAAAGATTATGAAAATGAAAGAAAACTTACTGATGTAGAGATTATCAAAATCAATGCTGAAGAATGGTGTAGATCTTTTGAAACACAAAATTCATGTGAAAGTATATCTATATCTACTAAACCAAAAGGAGATTTTTCTTGACTCTGACTCTGAGTCAGAACAAGACAATGAAACAAAGATAATAGAAGCAGAGGTTGAAGGACCAGAGATTTCTAAAGAGTACTTTTGAAACACAAGTGCTCTTCTGACACTCTACGATGGTTGCACAAGGGGTATACATGAAAGAATTGACAAAGAGTCGTTGCAGCTAGAGGCAATAATCGAGATCATCCAGTGCATACAAAAGGTCCTCAATTACAGAGATTTGATCAAGCATTATCATAAGATTTATATTAATGATCTTTTTGTAATATAAACATTGTGATTACTTGTAATCTTGTTTTTTGCTTAAATGAAATCTTTTAACCAAGGACCATGTTCGCCTCTTGCTTTCTAGTGTCACTATTTTGGGGGAGATTGTTAGCCATGTTTCTTAATTGTAAAAGTATTGTAAAAAGAAGCCATGTCCTTGAACTAGAGGACTTCTTTACGAGAAGTTAGTTCAACAGAGCCAAAGCTGAAGTTATCGAAGATGCAAAAAACTTAAAAAGAAGAACGTGTCAAAGAGGAAGAGCCTCTAGCCTAGCCAATCAGAGCCTCTTGCCTAGGCACATAGAGCCTCTAACGCAATTCTGCACTTACACTCAACATTCAACTTTAAGATCTCCTCAAGTACAATGTGCCTATCATAGCTTGCCATGTATACTAGAAACGTTTATTTCAAACATGTAGTTACACTTAGAAATCAACCGTTGGTGGATTGACTTTTCTTTTATAGGCTATAATAGGTGATCTGTTTAGCTTTTGAATAAAATCATCTTGTACTTGTTAGAGAGAAATTTAGCTTTTCTGAGAGTTTTTATGCATGCACTATTGTGTGTTCTTGGTGTGATTTCTGTATTCTCATATTGCTAATCAACACACATGATGACCTTGATGCTCCACTTTACTATTTATATTTATTTTATCGCCTTCATCTCTATATAGTCTAGTATAATAGTTAATGCTCTTTGCTTTCTCTCATATACTAAATTTGGCATTTATTACTTGTAATTTGAGGATCTGGGTTCCTACAAGTGGTTTTAGAGTAACTACTTATTCGATAACGTGAGCACTGATCAACAAGAAGCTCAACAAGTGTTGAAGACACCTTCACCGTTCCTTCTTCTATGCTGAAGCCAAATCCTGAAGATCAAGTATTTGTCTCTCCCTCTCTCTCTCCCTCTCTCTATTTTGCAAAAGTCAAAACCATGTAACTCATGATAAAACGTGCAATATAGGTTCTACTTTATTGTCTCTTTTCACGAATAGCCACTTTCTTGATTCACTATTTAAAAGCCGCCAAGGCAATTTTGAAAAGGACAAGCAGATCATGATTTCCTCTCCCCTTAGGACACATACCTCTTTCACAACATTAAATACTTCAGGTATAAATAGATGTAAAAATCATCCTCTCCAACTGGCAACTTTATTGTGTGTATTCATTACAAGACAGACATGTGTGAACAGTGTGAGCTTTGTTAAAAGATTCTTAGTGTTATCTCATATAGCAAAGTAAAGTTGTTTTAGATTAGGTTTCTCATCTTATCTTCTTCTACAAATAATCTGTAAATTCATTGATTGATTTTTCTCTATAACAATAAGTATTTAAAAAGTAAGTTGTGTTTGTATTCACACCCCCCCCCCCTTCTACAAACTTTAGCAACCTTGTTTACTCCTTCTGGACCAATAACCATCATCTCCTCACCATTATTTCCAGAACCAAACACCATGACCCTCATGCACTCGCACTCAAAACACCACCACCCTCACGTCCCACCCTGAAATGTGGCATCTTATCGGGATGGTGTATAGCAAATCAGAGTAGGGGGTACAAAAGGAAAAAAGAGAAAGGGTCAATTACTTTGTTGATATCGGCACCACATGTAGAATCTTTGTCCCCCAATGTGTCAAAATCTACAAAAGATGGAAGGAGGTGTTGATTGTAGAGCCTCACGTGGTGGAGACGTAGAAGATTGATGAAAAAAGAACTGCATAATAGAGACACAACAGAAGAAAAATATAAAAAATAATGGAAAAAGAGCTTCAAAGCAAAGGATAAAGGTGGTGTATTTTTCATCACTATGTACGTCGAAGGTCTTTGTTCCTGTTCAAAGATGGTTTTGCAAGTAGGTCTTCGCTGAAAGTGGTTTTTCAAGTGGTGATCTTCACCGGAGGTTGTTTTTCAAGGACTATCATTTTCAAAGCAAAATGCAAATTACAATTATCATTACTGTCATTAATGAAATTTAGGACGTAGGTAGGTGTAAACCACAAGAACCAAAATTGTAGTTTACTCCTCTTAAATAAAAAAAACTAGACAGCCTTAAATTCGAACGATACACTGTTTCTGGGCTACATTTTACCAGGGTATCAGCCCAAGAATATGAACCCAACGACGAAAAATAAGTTGACAGTTCCATTTCCATTCCATCTCTGTGTGTAACAGTCGCAACCAACAAATCTTGAGGCAGGAGATGGCGAACATTCTACGACGTGGTTTCCGGGTCGCCTTGTCTCGGTGTGATCATGGATCGGCTGTTGCTGCTGCGTTGGGAAGGAGATCCTGCACAAGTGATGCTTTGGTTGAAGTCAAACCCGGTGAGGTTGGAATGATCTCCGGTATCCCTGAAGAACAGCTTCGGCGAAGGGTCTGTCCCATATCACCTCCCTTATCAATCAATCATTATAAAGTTTAACCTTTATTTATTATAGATTCATAATCTGTATGTGTTTACCTGTAGATGCAAGCATCATGTAGGTGCTATTCTGTGGTGAATCGAGGGTTTGTGATTGACGATAATCGTGATGGTTATAAATCGAAATCTGCATAGATTTATCCAATTAGACGCCGTACAAAAGCTAATTACCATTGACGAAGAACTATCCTCATAGAGACTTTGAATCTTGCTAATGCTAAATATTTTTTTATTGTTAGTACAGTAGCTAGACTGTTTGGTAACTTGGTTGGACCATGAAAGTCAAGGGCTCGAGTCATTTCCACGATGAAGAGGGCGTTTGGTTATCAATTTGGTAATAATTGCAAGTTTCTTTTTGTTGAAATTGAACTTGTTAAGATTAACATGGCAATAAATATTAGTAAATGCAGTAGCATTTTCTGATGTTCTGAAGAACTAAAGTTCAAGTAACTTATTATCTCAAACTAGTAGGGATGTAACCCAGCTGAAAATTGGTTAGGCATCCTGACTAGCGTCCTACAGGCTCTTCTATTCAAGTTAAAATCCATGTCCTTTGTTATGTTCCAATCAGTTAGATTATGTATTGACATTACATTGTGATTTGTATCAAGCAGAGGAATATAACATTGGCCTGTAGATCTTAATATTTGTTCCAAATTTCCCGAAACCACCTCACATATAATTTTATAACCAATAACAAAGGCATATTTTCATAATATTAAATCAGATACTAGGATCATGTGTCCCAAGTGGCAGGCACCCCCTTTAGTCATTTTGAAGTTGTTGCTTGATAACAATTGTATGTGACAACTTTAATTGTTTTAGTACTAAAATAGCACCGTAGTCTTGTGTAGATAGTCAATGTATTTACTGAATTATAAACATAGGTAACATTCTTGGTTAAGGAAAAGCTACAAAAAATTAAGATATAAAGAGCAGAAAAAAAAGAAAAAAGAGCACATAGAGACAACCAACTCTGGTTGGTGGTCAGGTGGGAAATCCTCGCCAGAGTCATGAAAAAAGGAACAAAAGTGAAGAAGATAAGCAAAGAGAGCAGAATAAAACAGTAAGTAGGTACCCCTTTTGATTTCAGAATAGGAGTGCTGAAAGGAGATGACACGAACCATTGCTGGAGTCATGACCAATATGCACATTAAAAGAACCCTTGACGAATGCCATTTTGGTTATAATTAGGGTAAAATACCTATTGGTGCAAATATGAAGGAGCAAGCAATTGGCAGGGATAAAGGCAAGTCAAATAGGATTTTGATTTGTTACATATTGTTTCGTCATTTGCTTCATGAATTGGATTGACTCATATGAACATTGTTGTGATTCTTCCGGTTTTGTTGACCTTGGTTTGATGTCTTTTAACTACTTCCAACTGTGTACCTATTTTCTTTTCATTCCATCAACGAATTCTCCCCCCACCCCTCCCCGAATCCCTGATTGATAAGAAGCTGCGCTTCCTCAGTTGTGCTTTGAGGTCTATGCCAAGGATTGGTAAACAACACAGAGGTCTACTTCTAATTTAATATTGTTTGCCTGCAATAACGAACATAATTCACAAGAGCTGTGAATGTTGCGTTTACTGGGTTGTTATCTTTTTCTGTTTGCTTATAGTGGCTTCTCCTTTATTAAGTTTGTGCTGATTCAAACACCGTAATATAGATGCATGTATATTAAGTAAAAAACTATACATGTGACATGCCCATGACAATTCTAAATTTCTAATCATAGCGAAAAGGTGAAACATACTAGCCTAGTATGACTGGGGACATAATGAATCCAATATAAGTTTCTTGGTGAATGTTAAAGATTCCTGTGTTATTGCTATTATTTATGAAGTTCTATTCTCGATTTATTTCTATCTGTTATCTTATGGCAAGTTGGCAACTGAAATTGTAGTTTTCTTATTTCTATATGCATAAATGTTTTAACATTTAATTATGCATTCTAGGTCTTGATTTATTCGCCCGCACGCACTGCATCTCAACAAGGCTCCGGAAAAGTTGGAAAGTGGAAGATCAATTTTTTATCCACACAGAAGTATGAATTTAGCATATGCCTAACTTTCTTTTCTATAAACTAATACTATTGAATTGATGTTCAAATAATCCTTTTCGGGAGGGCAGCTTAAAGGCCACGGTACATCTTATATGATTCAACTTTTAACATGGTCCATTTTCTATATGTGGTTACTTGTACTTATGTTTACTCAGCTACCAAGAAACAATTGCACATTTGTTTTTTGTGTATCCTTCCCTGTTACTTGGGTGTTCAATATAAGTTTTCATTTAACCTTTACATTCACACGTAAAAGATGAATTGTGACTGTAACTGCATCAAGGTGAGAGGTGAGGACAGGATACGTTTGGTCATGACGCTCTTAACAAGGGCATCTTTCATATTGAGTGAGAGGTGATACTAATGTTACTTATAGGATAAGATGAAGGAGGTTGAATGGTGGGATTTGCCAGGTTTTCTTGTGACCATTATGTCTTACTGAGGATGTAACATAGGATTTACAGGATGACAGACTGCAGGGCTGTGTTTGTTAGAAAGTTACAGGAGCTCTACACTACATGCACATTGGATTAGTCTGTCAATAACTGAAATGATGAAAGGATATATAGGCAAACTAGGATTCTGATATGAGGATATCCAAAGTGGTTGGTGTATCATCTAGGGGTGCTCATGGGTTGGGTTGATCGGGTTGAAGACATTTGAACAACCCAACCCAATGCTTGCGGTTTGGAAAAATCTTAACCCAACCCAATGCTTGTGGTTTGGAAAAATCTTAACCCAACCCAACCCAAACCAAACCAAAGTGCAACCCAACCCAAACCAAAGTGCAACCCAACCCAACCCGTACGGGTTGGTCGGGTTGATACTTTGGTATATTAAATATTCTTCTTACCTTGAATATGTTATTTCTCTACTCATATTTTTTTTATCAACTATTTGATACAACTTATCCATATTTTTTACGTATATCACATTCAGTTAATTTTCTCAATTTACATATATATGTTCACAGTTACTGAACATATATATGAATGAATTATATAAAAATATGAATAGATTGAAAATGTGTATATGAAAAGCATACATGATAGTGTAATTGTCTAATGTATATATTAATAGAAATTCAACAATCATATTAAATCTAAGAAATAAAAGGATATCGGGTTCATCGGGTTGGATTCAAATAATAGTAACCCAATATCAACCCAATACCTACGGTTTGACAATTTTTTCAACTCGATTAGACATCGGGTTCCTTTGGGTTGGGTTATTTCACGTTGGGTTGGGTTGATCGGGTTGGTCGGATTTTTGAGCACCCCTAGTATCATCAATGAAGCGGGCAGTTCAAGAAAATTGTAGCCTAAGTACTACGAAACACAGGAATGTTGGCTTTCAGCAGTCATCAATGAGGGAATATCACTTTGAGATGTTTCAACAAATCCAATATAGACCCTTGGATGCATCAATAAATGGGGAAACTTACACCCAGACTACAACATTAGAAGGAGCAAAATGAGTTGGAAACTAACATGGGTATAGTAACAGCAGATTTAACAATACCAAATATAAGACAAACTTGGTCTTAGAAAAGGAGGCATAGAGATGTTAGTTCATATTGATATTAAACCATAGTTAGGGAATGGATGCCACAACTAGTGACACTATGCATCCACTTTTTGTCAAATAATAATGGAATATAAAAATTACCTAGAGAAAATCTAATTTTTTTAGAAGTTTGATGATGTTCTCGAGCCTTGTGTACCTTGGATTTTTGGAAGTTTGACTTCAGTGGCTGTTGGTTGGGGAGATGTTGTAACCAGGCAGCTTTCTCTATTTTTTCTATCCACCTTGAGGACAAGGTGGTTCTTTNGGATTTTTGGAAGTTTGACTTCAGTGGCTGTTGGTTGGGGAGATGTTGTAACCAGGCAGCTTTCTCTATTTTTTCTATCCACCTTGAGGACAAGGGGGGGGGGGGGGGGGGGGTTAATGTCATGTACCCACCTTAGGCCCAAGCCCATCCATATTTGTTATACCAGAAGCGGTTAGAAAGGGTATTTTGGGTACTTACTATAAATCTAGTACAAAGAGGGGTGATGTAGGTGGTTTAGCGCATGCAGAAAATAGTGTTATGTTAGGAGAGTTCTAGCCTTTTGAATGCTAGAGTTTACCTTTGTTTTCCATTCAAGTAACCATCCATTTAATCTGTTTCCATCTTCTTTATTAGTTCGGTACTAATTTGGATTCCATCTCATACATAAATTTATAGCTTGCTAGAGGGGAAAGAACAATGGAAAATAATAACAATCATTTTCTCAGGAAATTGGTAACTATGAGCAGTCAATAGACAAGATTTGGTCGAACAATCACCCAAATTGTTCTTTAGCGATCTTCACCTCATGCATCAAAACACAATTTAGGTGATTGTTTGACCAAATCTTGTACATTGACTGCTCATATTTACCAACTTCTTGATTAAATGTTTGTTTTATTTTTCGGTGTTCTTTTCCTCTCTGGTATTCTAAAGGGGGTTCAAACTTGCCCAGCAGAGAAGTATTAGATATTTTCTAGGCAATATTTATGTTTCATTATCATTTGACAAAGAATAAATGCATAGTTTCACAAGTTGTGATGTCCACGTACTAATTGGATCGGATGATTCCTGCACACCCCTAACAAGAGCCCAAGGTTTGTCGGGTATACCTGTTAGAATGACACTTCTGTTCTTATCATCATTCATCTGGGATCTTGTCATAGAAGGATCGTGTTATTTTCTTTCTCAAATGTACCACTGAAATTTAAGAGAAACAAGGCAATCCTTGCAATTACTATGAGCGTGATTGCTGAACAAGTTAATTATCTTGTTGGAGTTTTTCATTTCCTACAACGTACTGTATCTAATCCTTGATCCTAACATTGACATGTTATAACTTGTAACGACAACATAATAGCCAAGGAAGATAGAGCATATGAAGTATAACATAATTCATGTGAATCCTCAGCTACCAACTCCCTAGGCAAAATATCGCTGCATAAATATCGGTCAAAATATCGTCCCTGATATTATCGGCGATATTTTCCGATTTTTCCCGATATTTAGCGATATTTTGATGTATATATCGGACCGATATGTCGATTTTTAGGGTTCAATTATTTGGGCTTTTGTTATTTCATGGGCTTAGTTTTTTGGGCTTGGTAACATATATTATTAGGTCTGAAATTAATAGTCTGCCTTCCAACGGTATTCTTCCTTTCTTTTCATCTTTACGAGTTACGACTTCACACATCACAGACACCTAGTTCACTTCACGAATCACGACTTCAGGCTTCTCACAACTTCAGACTTCTCACGGAGTCACGGTTTGGCTTCTTTTCTCGGATGCCGAACCTATTGCTTGCGATTAGCTCGTTTTTGAACATTTTAGATGATGTGATGTTTTAATTTTGAAACTATATTTCTAAACTCTAATTAATGCATATTATATATATAATTCTAAGAAATATTATGTTAACCGCTATTTTGGACCGATATCACCGATATAACCGATATATCGCCGATATAACCGATACATCGAATATCGATCCTGACCGATATTTTGTATTCTGACCGATATAACAGTATAGGCTTGCACAACCTGCTAATGTTGCTTCTATCTTGTTTAGATCAACCTGTTAAGAAACCAAAAACCCTAGAGTATAAAACCCTTTGAAGTATTTACATCCCAATTTAATTGTTATTCATCACTTAGAAAGTGTAGACAAAATAACCTGATGTGCAGTTTCAAATGTTCTTCACCAACGATTCGGGGTTGTGGCATAGTTGATGTTAAATCTAAAGGATCTACTGCTAGATAGATAACCTTTGGCTGCGAATCCTCTTGATAGTACGGTAGTAGCATCTAAATGTGCAAATGAGTCGAAATATTTAGATGTGATCCATGTAATATCCTTTTGGTTTGGTTCTTGTATTGTAGGACATGGTAAATTGATATTCTACTAGCATCATATTTAAATAATAATACTTAATAATGCATCCGTTGCTGCTATTTCAGGTGGGAAAATCCATTAATGGGCTGGACATCGACAGGAGACCCATATGCTAATGTTGGTGATGCAGGACTCAGTTTCGATAGTGAGGATGCAGCAAAGGCATTTGCTGAGAAATATGGCTGGGAATATGTGGTATGGTTCTACCATTCATTCCTATTGCATATTTTAACATATTTAGGTATACGAATTACTAGTGAGTAGACCAGAGTAAAGAAGATATCAGCTTATATGCAATCATCAATTTATCCTGTTTTTCTTTATTATGCATTCACAAACTACCATCTTCTTTTTTCAGTCAGTTTGAAGAGGAACATGTGTTTTGGATGGTGATTGATTGATTGATTGTTAGTTTTTGAATTTATATAAGGGAAAAGGTTTTTGATAGAATGAAATCCTATGGAAGTGTTGAGGAAGTTGTTACAACTCCAATCAAAGGTTGGGTATTCTTTATTGATCCTTCATCTGGCTGGGCTGTCGATAAATATTTTTTTAGTACATAACTCTTTCTAGGATTCAAGTTGAAATGGGACAGTTGTTGAGAGCTCTACAGGAGCAAAAGGAATATATATTTCCTTCTGATTCATCATCTTGTAGGCTGCTGCTGCTGTATTTGTATTGTATTCAGCCACTCATTGATCCTTTTGCTGATATATTATTGTTTTTATACAGGTCAAGAAGCATCAGAGTCCTATTATGAAGGTGTATATTTCTTCCAAAGCTAAAACTCACTTTTCTTAATTATTGGTGTTATATTCATACTTTTCAACAATCTTTAAACCTGTATAGAATTTCACCAGTGTTTCTCTTTTGTTCATATATCAGAATATATATATAATATATATATATATATATATATATAGCTGGATGGGATTGGATGATGGCTGATTTCTTTTTCATCTTCTCCCTGCAGGCTAAATCATATGCAGACAATTTCAAATGGAAAGGACCACCAAAAACGGAGCAAAGTTAGTCTGATTTTCTACAAGATAGATGCAGATGCACGAATAACATGATGGTAAAAGCCTAAACAGATTGCCTCCTTCCAAAGGCACACTTTGTTGTTCATTTCTTTTGAATAATCATGGACCTTTGTTTTAACAAACTTAAATGAAATGAAAGCTGTAACCTTGCTGATGATAAGTAGTTATCATCCTCTAGTCTACTAGAATATATATTCATATTTTATATATATATATATATATTTCTTTATGATATAATAATATACACCCTACATAGCTACACTACTTTCTTCTATCTATTTAGGATTCTTGATTGCACTCTATACGTTTGAAGCGGCTTCTGAGGCTTCTCTTGTGTGGAACCTCCAAGCGAACTTGTAGTCTTTGGATTCACATTCCAACCTCATTGCTTCACCAAAAGCATTCACCAACTTCTTCTTCTTCCCATTCATCCCCCATTCGATCCTGGCCCAGCACGAGAACCCACCTAACCCACTCCTCTCCTGCTCCAAATCCGTGAAATTAAGCACCACTTCCCCACAGATGCTCTTGCATGCAACCCCAACTGTGATCATGGATTCCAGCCATGGGCATTCTGGTTGGCCGACCATCTCCTTGTAAGCCGAATTCACCAGTCTCACTTGGTTGTTAGAATCCGACACGAAGGCCGGCAAGACCTGTGACTCTAATTCTTTCTCCACCTCCTCTGCTGCTTTCATCGATATCTGGACCGGACACGTATCATCTTTGATGGCTCGGATGGTGACGGTGGAGGGGACGAGCCGAATTGGCCTGGGGGAAATGACATCTGTTGCGGGTTTCTGCAATTGTGCCAAGAGATCTCTCTCTTCTGGGACGTCCGCCACCTTGTTCAGGTCGATGACATTAGGTTGCAATTGCATGTGGTGGGGTGAAGAACAAGGGAGGAGTGGGAGGGTGACAAGGGTGGTGGTGGTGGTGGTGGTGGTGGTTGGTTGCAGCGGAAGAGGAGCAAAACCCTGAATTGAAAGATTCCTGGCTGGAGATGTGGTGATGTGGAATGGTGGAGAAAGACCCTGTAGAAGAGTCCTTGGTCTCTTGAAGGTGGGTGGTGGAGGTGGTCCCAGGGACGTCCGCCCTCTCTTCCTGGTTCTAGTTGGCCTGGACTGCAAATGAGGCCATACGTTTCTCAGGTAAGGAGACTGCCGGATGGTAGGAGACATGGACGACGGTGATGAGCCGGACCCAGACCCAGACCCAGACCCAGACCCATCTCCGTCCCCGACACCACCACCATTTGAAGTTAGTGGTGCTTGCGGCCTTGGTGCAATAGGCCTATACCTAGCCATGATCTCGGCCGTTTTAGCCGTGGAGGTGTAAGGATTCAAGGTTTGGAGCATGTTTTGGGGGTGTGGAGTTGAGGGTTTGAGTTTTGGTGTGAGGGGTTTCTTTAAGGGTGAAGGCAGGCCAATAGGATTAAGGCAACATAAATAAAAGGGAAAAGGAGAAGGTGACACTTGGAAATGTGATGTGGGTACGTGTTTTGTAAACATACAGATGTGGGGAGCCTTCATATACTTCCTTCGGTTACATAAATTATACTCCCATCCGTACCAAATCAAAACTTTTTTACTTAAATACCACCACTTTATTCTTTTCATTAATCTTTTTATCAACGCTTTTTTTACTTGCTCCTCAAACCATTCTTCTTCCTGTTTTTTGTTTTAATTATGAGCGATCGTATCAGCTTATAATTAACATTAATATCTGAGCTACTTGACGTTAATGCCCTTAGTTTTTTATCTTGGTTCTTTGTAATCTTTTCGAGAATGTCTTAAACGGGGTTAAAAAAGTGGACATGCTCAAGACGCATCTTTATTATGTGTAAAACTTGAGGTTTGACCTCGTTGTCATGCCTCTTTTTATTTGGAACCTTGGTCTTAAAAACGTATGTCGAATAATTCGTTAATAAATTTATCTTGAGGAATTGTTTATTAATACAAATTGGATTAGTGTTTATTTGGCAAGTCACCGTTTTCACTTACATTATCAGGTGAAAGTCATACTCTTACTTACTGGATAAGATTTTTGGGTAGTAAAATAGCATGATAAGGTTATTAGTATAGACCATTTTTTATCGGGTAAATATTTCTTACTCGGTAAAAGATTGTAAATGATTAATTACCCGGTAAAATTATTAATATTACATTTGGAGATCATAAGGTCTAAATTTGAGGTTTCTTCTTATGTATCTGGCATAACCACCATAATCAATGGCCGTTTTCTTGCTAGAGTGAGGAACCGCCCAAATTTAGACCTTATGATCTCCAAATGTAATATTAATAATTTTATTATTAATATTACATTTGGAGATCATAAGATCTAAATTTGGGGTTTCTTCTTATGAAATGAAAGCTGGAGTAAGTCAATCAGCTTACTTTCTTTTTGTCATCCCTGCTGCTTTTCTAGTTTATGCTTCCTATTCTGCTGGTCTCTTGATTGTTTGTCCAGGGACCAGGATCGCTCCCACACCTAAGAAGAAACCTCAAATTTAGACCTTATGATCTCCAAATGTAATATTAATAATTTTAAGAGAGTGTAGGTATTTAGTAAATCACCCATAAATCTCTCTTACTGTCGCTACCTTGATATATTTGTTCAGTCAACTTAAAATTTAACGTAGAAATTATTTCCCCATTGAAAATTAAAAAGGGTGTTGTTAATACATGTTTAAGCGTAAAAATGTAATAAAATAATTTATAACAAAATCTTTAAATTTATGATATTATAGACTGGTTTTTATCTCGTCTAATTAGGAAAAACCCATCCATATCAAATATAGGAAAAAAATAATCTAAATATCAAACACATAGGGGTGTTTGGGATTGCTTATAAAGACAACTTATTGACCTATTCCGATGTGACACCGATAATAAGCACTTTTGAGTGTTTTGATAAACAGCTTATACCAACGCCAAACTGATAATAAGGTTTTTTTTTTGAAAAAGTTGAAGAAATTAAACCATTCTAACTTATAATAAGTTGATAAAAACTTTTGTAGAAAATTATAAGTCGTTTCAAATAAACAATCCTAAACACCCCATATATTATCCCCTTGATGTTGATAAGTAGGAAAGACATACAAATATACGATCACGACGATGATGAACGGGTTGATTAAATATTTTATTGTTTTGAAATTCTTTTCATGTTATTTAACTGTTTTAAAATAAAAAATATTTGTTTTAAAAAATTTATGTTCGATAATGTATTATGTTTTTATAAAATTAATAGAAATAATATATGTTATTTATACAATTAAAACAAAATATGTTTTATTTTAATGTAATTTTTTATGTTAAGTTTAGTTGATATAATTAGGGGTGTAAATGATTCGAGTCGAGCTCGAGTATCACTATACTCGACTCGAACTCGAAACCTAATTTCCAAGCTCGAACTCGACTCGAAAACTC